TGCAATCACAACGGACAGGAATCAAATCTCAGCATGGGAAAAGTACCTGGCAGAATCGCTTTATGGTATGAAATTTATGCAAAGCAGAAATACTTTTGTTCCCCAAAGGACAGAGCCTTGGGCCCTCTACAATGACTTTCTTTTCCCTTGTTCATTTAAAATTTAGCTTTCTGTCTCACTGTAAGTTTTTCCTCATTTAGCTCAGGAGGCTGGGAAGTAGCTCTGACAACAGTCTCCCACTCCCTCAGCAGAGCCTGTTCAGGTAGAAGGGGGGAGAGGAAACTGGCTCTACTGATGCTATGACGGCTTCTCTAGATGTAACGGGTCTAAGAAGGCAGGGCTGCGGAGACTATTACTACTGTGGGAGGTAATTACCTTTCATCCAGGTAGCCAACAGCACTCTCTTACAGCGCCTCTCCATGTAAGCTTAGATGTAAAACTTAAGAGGTCTTTATAAATAACAGGCATCTGTGTTAATACTGTAAGAGGTAAAATTTGAGGACAATGCATAAAATAAGATTACCTACCGACAAACAGAGCACAGAAATATAAACCAAAATGCTATAATCCCATAACCTGGGGGTAGGGAAAGGGATCTCTCACTACCATTTAACGACGACCAGCACAGAAAGAAAACAAAGATGTGACATCTCAACTTGGTCGTCTCTTTAAAGGGATCCATTTAAACTGTATGCAACTTCTTCCAAGTTAAGATGCTAATGCACGTTCTGCTTATCTTCTTGAGACGCAGGAATACAATGTGCTTTGGGGGAAACGGAAAAGGCCTTCTGCGCTCATCATACTTGACGTCAGTGTATTACGAGATGCTGTTGCTCACTCGCTCCTTTTTGATTCTGCTTTTGGTTCCGAGATGCTTTCTCCTGTTCTTCTGTTTGATCTTTTTCAGGCTCCTTTGTACATCCTGATTCCTTTGTCCACCAGTGTTGGTGTTGCCAAGAAGTTCATACTTTCTCTCCTCTCACGCTATACATTCTTTCTAGGTGAACTCATCCACTATTTTGCATTCAGCTGCTCTCTAATAATTCTCAAATCAGTATTTCAGCCCAGACCTCTCCCCTAAGATTCAGACGTTTATATTCAACCGACTGTTGAACGTGTCAGCAGCTTTCTAATTGCCTTCTCTGCTTCTGGCTTTTCCAATTTTCAATTCATTCTTCACATCTCTGACAGTCAACAGATGGCCACTGCCCTACTTAAAAGTTTCCAATGCCTCCCCACTGCCTTCAGCATTAAAAAACCTAGAGTCCTTACTATACTACACAAGAGCCTTCAAAATCTAGTCCAATCTCATCTCTCTAAAAGTAACCCTGGGCCTCTGAACAAGTCCCCCAGCCTCCCGTGCCTCTGAACATGTGGCAACATATGGAAAACCCTATGCAACCATGCCTGTTATGGGATTAATTCCACCTGTTTCAAATGAGCTCAGTTGGCAATTCAATTCCATTTTTATTGAGAACGTATAAACGCCAGGCACTAGCAGTCATGCAGTTTATATTCGTGTGTGTGTGTGTGTGTGTGTGTGTGTGTG